AAAAAAAAACGATCTATGCGTACAACTGTAGCAAAGGTCGTTCCTCACGGGGTTCCAAGAGAGAAAAAATATTGATTTCACGGTGCACGAATAACAAGTTTCTCAGAAATTCGGGGAAACTGAGAAGTGGACATACCATTGGTGAACACCACACTTTCGAAGAACTCCGACACACGGATAGGCTCGTTCCGAATACGATTCACACAATGAAATTCCAAATCTTTTTCGCCAAAACGACAAAAAGACCATCGGAATGGACTGGGGAATGAGTGATCAGCCCAATCGGGCAGGGTCTCCGAACCGGAAGAACTTCCACAATCCAATTGCATGGGAAACATGGACGGATTCAAGGTTGGCAAGTAGCGTGCATTTTCCAGACCTCGTTCGACCATCACTAAAAAAGGAAACAAAGCACAAAATGAATGCGGAATGGATAAGTGAGAATTGTCAACTGTACTTCAGGGAATGGACATCAAACTTTAAACGATAAATATGACGAATTCTTGGTCAAAGGTTGCTAGACTATTTTGATACCAAAGAAGTAACCTCTTTAGAGAACCAAAGGTAGAAAACACATTTTTCTAATAGTGATAAAGGTAAAGAAGCTACTGAAATGGATTAGAGCATTACATTTTTCACCTAGGAAAAAAAGGATTCGTTCACGAGGACAAGCGAATTCATGCACAGATGGTTCACATCTTAGAATTTAACTGTATTGCTAAGCCGTTATCTCTTCTAGCAAAAACAATAAACATGACCAACAGCTTCAGCTAGAGCCCTTGAATGTCGACGAATGGTGTCTGCGAGACGCTCATGCAGAACCACACTGCTCAATCATTACCCCGCGTTCTCCAAATCCAACCTCATCTCCACGCTTCACTTTCGTGTTTGGCGGTGATGCTGGTATCGGGAATGTGTTGTGCTGGTGGTGGGTCGGCTTCACGGATTCTCTGATCATGGGTGACCATAGATGTCGATCGATGACCTTTTTATTACACACTTCAGTGTGATAAACAGCAGATGGGGAGCAGCCCATAGTCACGAGGACCTGCTGCTCAATGGAAACCGGTAAATTAAGCCCATGGAACTTGGCGAGCCACATAAAGCCCCGATAGGTTACCCGTGGGGAATTGAATCGGACGACAACAAAGCTGCCTACTACCAAAGTTGGGTGGCAGTGGCTGGACTCGAACCTCGGACCATAGGGTTCAAAGCAGGCCAGTGACAGCGACTAAATCACTGCGCCACCACCGTAGGATGGGTATTTTCAGACGAGTAGACTTGTTCCGGCCATTATACATTGCTTGCAATCTTAGGTGCTGGGTGTCAGATAGGATTGTGGAGATCAAAGTCTTCGATTGGCCTCCAAGACGACAGAATATCAAAGATAGAGCGTTGGGAAAAGCATCAATTCAAAAGTTCCGCTGAGGGCCTTCTAAGATCAGGATAGAATCATTGCTGACGTCTCCAGTGCAAGAAAGCGCGCAAATTCTTTGCTGATGCAGTGCTGACGGTTAGCTGCCTTGAAAATCTGCTCTTTTTATTCTGCTTTTGCTATGCGGTGCAGATACCAGTAATCAGAATCTCGATACCCAACTCTGAGTGGCCACGTTTTGCAGCTGAATGAGGATTTTCAATAGCAGAAAACCTCCTGAAGTGGTGCTGACGCCGAAGTAGATTTGGACCTTAGCAGCATGATGGTATTTGACAACTGGTCGTCCATTTGCTACAGTTCCCCGGGAGACTAAAACGGGAACTTCCGCGGGTGTCGACAGTAGTTCGAATAATCTTAGTTTTGGAAGTGTTAATTTCTAAACCTGCTATTTTGGCGAATCGTTCGGTGGTGGTGGCTCGGTGGTAAGGGCACTGGACTATCACTTCAGAAGACGTACGTTCGAATCCCATAACCGCCGCCCGTATTTCCCCATTATGTGTTCTATGACAGCCCTTCGACTGGCCGCTTCTCCCTTCCTGAAAATTGTATTTTTGTATATTTAATAAAAGGAAGTAAAAATTAAAATAGAAAAATAAAAAGATCCGACTAAATATCCGTTGTAAGCTCATATCCTAGTACGACAATGTCGTTTGCATACTCAAGGTCGGTAATTGATGGATCTAAATCACACCTTTACACAATGAAAGTTTTCCATGGCTCGTGACATTACCCAATTGATGAAGTAGTTCAGCTGGTGAAGATGGGTATATATGTAGAACTCTACCATACTATCAACACGGTACAACCCTGTCATCCTGCGAGGATAGCGGTATAGATTTACTTCCAGATGGCGGACTGCCTGGTCTAGAGTATGCAGACGACATTGTGATACCAAGTGAAGATCCAGGTAAGTTGCAAGCTTTTCTGGGTCGCCATGTTTGGTATGCGTTTCGTACCTTCAAAGTGTACAATGTTGCTCCAGGACTGGGTTGGCCCAGCCCCAAGCTCACTCTGATTGGGGAAGCAGTATAGGAAGTAGACAAGTTTTTCTGTTTGGACAGCTACATCTCACCCGTTAGACACATCACGGATGACGTGTCAGCTCGCATACAGAAGNCTGTGTGAAGGGTCAAGTGTATGCCGCGGCAGTGCGGCCAGTTCTGCTATGCGGTGCAGAAACTTGGCCTTTAAGGAGGTAGGGTAAAGATAGACTATCGATATTTGGACACCGCTGTCTAAGCAACATTGCACGAATCTGGTGGGGCAGCCGGACGAGTAATGCTGAGGTTAGGTAACTGCTTTCGCTCACTGGAGCAAGTGGTCTATTTCCATAGATTACGTTGGCTGGAGCATGTGTTACGCATGTCACCCAACAGGTTACCACGTCGAGCGATATTCGCCGAGGCAGGTAGTAGGTGGAATAAAACCAGTGCTGCC